TCCTGACCCACAGTCCTTCCAGCTGTTCTGGTGCCCCTCACTCCCGACCTGCTGTCCCCTGCCCCCAGCCCCTCTGTGTATGAGGAAGGGAGTGGGTGTGTAGGGGAGGCAGTGGGAAGGCAGTGGGGACAGGCGATGCGGTGGTGGGGGAACATGCCCTCCGAGACTTCTGCACCCGCAGTGAGGTGTAGGGTCACATTCAGACTGGATCAGCTTCAGGCAAGGGCTGCCTCCACAGCCCAGAGGGTAGGACTCAGTGCTGGAGGTGAGGTACATAAGTGGCAGTGATGGTTGTGCGAAATTGCCCCTCACTGCTGCCAAGCAGGCAAGCAGAACCTTTCTTTGGCAGCTGTGGTCATGGAGGCAGCTCCTGTCTGGAGCTGGTCCAGCCTGGCTGCAGCCCTACACCCCACTGTGGGTGCAGAAAGCTTGTGGGGCGGGGGTGCCAGTGCCCATGTCCTTTCCTCTCCTCGTGTGGCCTGTGCCCCTTGCCCCCTCCCCACCCTTCCCTAGACAGCTCTCCACTGCTGCCTGGCTGCCATGTGCATTGCGCGCATGCATGTGCACAGGTGCCCCCCTGCCTCTGATTGCCCTCCTCACACTCCTTGCAGGCTAGAACTTGGCCAGCCTGCAAAGGGAAACCTGTGCTTTCCTGTGTTTTTCTCCTTTAAGGGAGGAATCCACAATTTTCTCCTTTAAAAGAGAAAATTCATATTTTTTTCTGTTGAAGGAGAAAATTCGTGTTTTTCCATAGTGAACTAAAAATCCGGATCCCAGCTGGTGACATGCTGTGGTTACATGCTGTGATGTATTGTGTCTCTCTTTATTATTATGAAGAGCAGGTGAGATGGCGCTTGGGTTTTGTCTATTTTATTGCTGGTGTGGTGAATGTTGAAACTAGTTTTAAATGAACTGGCTTAATTACTGGTAGCAGGCTAACTGTGGCAGCACAAAGCTCAGTATGGGCTGCAAAAGATGTTTTAAGAGCCTGGTAAATACTTGATCCATTAGCTTTCTCTGAACTCTGTGCTGCTACTGGTAGACTGCTACCGGTACCTGAGCTAGCAAGCTGAAATTACCTTGGGGATGTATACATTACAGAAGGCATAACCTGTAGAAAAGTCTGGAGTCATAAAAAATCATAGAGAAGTCTACTTTGCCCTGCCTTAAGTATTAATTGTGCAGTGGTTCAAGGACACAAAGTTAAGTCCATCTGGTAAAATGTTCCAAACACTTGTTTCTGTTTGAATTTTTTTGTTTTGTTTTTATTTTTTCTAAACAGCTGACATTCTTTGCTTTTTGGATGAAAATGAATTTAGGGGCATGGGGTTTTTTTTCTTTTTACATGGTGCATTAAGAATGCTTTTGATTGTTGGCTTCTTTGAAGAAACTCATATCTACTGAGTTTGCACAATCAGTTCCAAACAAGATATGAACATACATAGGTGTCTTTGGACAAGGACTGTTTCAAGTTTGGCTCAGCCCTGATAATAGCCTGCGAGATTTACTGATTATATACAAGCAGGTGTGAACTAATGAGGACTGCAATATATAGTGTAGAGCAAATTTAAACATACCTTGGGTACTGCAGGAAATCTTGATTTGGCTCCAGATACACTTTGGCATGATCTTTTCTCCCCAGCAGCATATCAGTAGTTAGTCAACGAGAAGTATTTCTGCGATTTGTTAAACTATATCCAAGCTGGATGTATTTAAATTTAATGGTAACAGTAGGAAGATATTTAACTTTACATTTGCACACTTTCACTTTCATTCTAGGAAAAGTCTACACGAGACTTTTACATTTTTTAAGTGGTAGCAATATAACTTTAAATTGAATCCCATATACCTAAAGTTTAAGTTCGTGAAGACCGGAATAGAATTAATGCTGTCCCTCTCTGTGCTATGTTCATTATCTCCAGACAGTACATTTTGATGACATATTCTTAATTGCTTTTTCATATGGCTCATGTGGATTTTTTTTAATACACCTAACAATTTTTATTTACATATTGAACATGCAGCATGTTCAATCCATCTGAGGCACTGATGGACGAGTCTGGAAAGAGAGTACTTACTTTATTTATCCACATCTCAGCTTGGTGCCTCTAGATGTTTTTGTTTTAATTGCAGATCAAGTTCTTTTCCCACCTATTTGGGAATTGCTTTATTTATGCATTTTTGTTGTTTTCGCAACTACCTTTTTGCTGTCTTAGCATATTCTTGGCTACTTTATTTAAGATGAATATGAATGAACTCCAAGACATTCCTCTTTCTGGCATTACAGGGTTTTGTGAGAAATACACAGATGAACATAAATGGAGAAGCAAACTATTCTTGTTTCATTTAACAAGTCAAATCACAATTTTTCTTGCTACTGATTATTCAGCAGTCAAGCAGTTCAACACTTTGCAAGTGTGAATACTTGTTACAGATGTCATGGAGTTCATTGCTTTATAAAAAATTGTCTATGTGATGAGTAGATTACTCAAAGATTGGTATAGACCCAAGAGACATGCCACTTCTAGCTTACTACTTCAGTTCCAGTCTAGGTCTCTGATGTCAGACAGCTGTTACTATCTGATGGTACTTTGATCACTGTGACCAGTGAGCTGCTGATCTTCGTTAAAGTTCATGTGGGCATGCATCCACAGCACAAAAACTTTTGCAATTAGCACTAATTGGCAACTTGGTTTGCAATTGAAGCAGTCTGGACATGGAGACTGACTTTGTTTCTGTTCTTTTTCAGCTTAGTGGTTACATAGATTGTTAGGTACTTGCTCTGCCACTCTCCATGCTGCATTAGATTTGAAATGTTTTACATTTTCAGCATTTTGGGCATCTATACACGTGCTCTGGGGTTGAGAGGGGGCATTTTAATTAGAGTGCCTCTCGGAGTGGCTCTAATTAAAGTGCCCACAGTGTCATGTGTATTCAGCCTCCTGCGCTTCAAAATGGCCACAGGGATGCTTTTAACTAAAGTTCATTCTATGAGCTTTAGTTAAAGCGCCCCTGCCATCATTCTGAAATGCAGGGACATTGAATACATGTGACACGAAGGCTGCCAGAGGGGCTAATTAGCACGCTGCAGCAGACTCGATCAATTGAGTCTCCTCTGATGCATGCTAATTAAAACATGTCAGAGCAGAGTTCTGTCATGTGTATAGGTGCCCTTTATTTGGCACCTATACACCTAGATTCTCAAGTACTGAAACCATGTAGTTAGTTTTGATGGTGCAGGATGGTAGGTGAAAATGCATGCAAAATTTAGAATTGTTTAGAATTTTCTCAGTTGAGTTAAACCAGTGGGATTTTAGTAGGGTCCTGAACAGCCAGAACAGTATAATACAACCAGGTAGTGGTTAGGCATCCTTCAAATTTGAAAACTTTTAAGAAAACAAGAGCTTGGTATGTTGTACCATTCCCTCTCTCTTATCTTGTATATTGTCTGTCCTCTCTTTGGCCTGAGTGTCTTGAGACGCAAAATTAACCAGTATCTGTATTTGGAGGTTTAGGTCTAAAATGTTGGTTGGTTAGTTAACTATGTAACTTGTTATCCTGACTCCTCAAAGCAGTCTTAATTGATGCCAAGAATAACATTTCTTACGCTGTACCTCTCTACTAATTTTTGATGTAGAATTTCCTCTCCTTTGAGCGTGTCTACACATCACCATGTTTTAGTACTTCCTTTTGGAAGTACTAAAATATGGTGCAGTATGGACGATTACTGTGTCAAGCGGGCAGCACACACTTAGATTTCCCCACTACATCGCTGTAGCCAGCGATCACGTGTAGATGCGTGTGATCGCTACATTGCCATAGCACACCATACAGTGACATAGCACATTGCTTGGGAAGAAAAACCAGCAGCATCCCTATCGGCTTGGCAGTGCTATGCTGGCTAGCACTACAGATGAAAGGGACTTGGGGGTCATGATTGACCACAAGATGAACATGAGCCTTCAATGTGATGCTGCGACTAGTAAAGTGAGCAAAACGCTGGCTTGCATCCATAGATGCTTCTCAAGCAAATCCCGGGACGTCGTTCTCCCATTGTACTTGGCCTTCGTAAGGCCGCAGCTGGAGTACTGCGTTCAGTTTTGGGCCCCACAATTCAAAAAGGATGTGGAGAAGCTTGAGAGAGTCCAGAGAAGAGCTGCGCATGATCAAAGGTCAGGAAAACAGACCTTACGATGACAGGCTGAGAGCTATGGGACTCTTCAGCCTGGAAAGTGCAGCCTTAGGGGCAATCTGATGGCCACGTATAAGTTTTGTATAAGGGGTGTCCACCAAGATCTGGGGGAACTTTTGTTCACCAGAGTGCCCCAAGGGATGACGAGGTCGAATGGTTATAAACTCCTGCAGGAATGTTTCAGGCTGGACATGAGGAAGAATTTCTTTACTATCTGAGTCCCCAAGGTCTGGAACAGCCTGCCATCGGAGGTGGTTCAAGCACCTACTTTGAATGCCTTCAAGAGAAATTTAGATGTTTATCTTGCTGGGATCCTATGACCCCAGCTGATTTCCTGCCCCTGGGGCAGGGGGCTGGACTCGATGATCCTTCAGCGTCCCTTCCCGCCCAAATGTCTATGAAATCTATGCTACATCGCTGCAGGGCAATGTGTAGACGTGCCCTTTGCATAGCTATTTTCTTTTGCATTGTGTTAATAACCCTTTTAAAATATGTTAAGTAGAAACAGCTTTGCATGTAGGTAGAGTACCAACCTGCCATTTAATGGCTATTTTTCTCTTTGAATGCATATTCTACATAAACCCCTGAAAATGTAGATGAAAGTCGGCACTTTTAACATGTTTGACAATCAGAAATCAGTTCAATAAAGTAACTTTCCTACAAGAAAGCTCTAGTTGATGCTCTGTTATGTAAATGAAGTAATACTTAAGGGGTTTGGTATATTTTGAGAGCTTCAGAACAATTTTTGCTTCTTGGCAATTGACTTAAACTCTTCTTTTAGATTCATGTTTCTTTTGTCTTTTTGTAGAATGTGGTTCTTTCAGGAGGATCCACAATGTTCAGGGACTTTGGACGTCGACTACAGAGGGACTTGAAAAGAGTAGTGGATGCGAGATTGAGACTTAGTGAAGAACTCAGTGGTGGTCGGATAAAGGTAGGCAAAAATCTGAAATTTTATCAGTTATGTGAACATGTGAAGTGAGTGCGAATACTCTAAAGCAACTACCAGACAAATTGGTGGGAGACTTCATTTCTGCATAAGAACACTGGACAAGTAAGAGTAAGGAGTAGAGTTTAACATCTGAAGTAATGAAGGATGAGAGAAAGGTAGGTAGCCTTGATAGTCTGAGGTCAGGCAGAAGACAGTGTAGAGATGCACCTTACGTAGTTAAAGAATTAGTGAATGATGTTTCTGTTTATACCAGTGGTACCAAACTTTGGATCCTGTGGGCCAGGTGAGTGGGTCTGTGTGTCTGATCTGGCATGTGCAGGGCTGGGGCCTGACCTGGTGTGTGCTGGATTGGTTCCTGACCCTGCATATGCTGGATTGGGTCTGCTGCCCCAGTCCTGCACACCTCAGTCAGATCCCTGCATGGGACTATTTCATTTGGCTTGTGGGGCTTGGAAATTTGGGGAGCAGAGGCAGTGTTAAGTACCACCACTTCTCTGCTGCCAAATTTTCAGACTCGGGGAGCCCCTGTGGGCTGCGTCACTTGGCTCCACAGGCCAGATATGGCCCGTGGACTGGGGTTTGAGTGCTCAGTATGTGGGTAGCCTTATACTTCATTGTACAGCCCCAAAAGACCATATTGCATTATATGAGACCTGTGTTTGAAAATGGAATCAAGGGCACTTTTCTCTTTGAAATTGAAATTCGATACAGAGTAATGGTAAAGCTGCATTTACCGGTGGAAAGAGATGCATCATCAGCTTTCCTGCAGCTTCCTTTATATATGGCATAAGTGGGCATACATTCCCCTCCTGTTGCCACATGTCAGGGTTTTTTTTCCCATGTCCTGCAGAACCATTGGGTTTTGGCTGGGATGTGCCAGTGCTCCACTTGGGACTAAAACCCAGAGGTTCCTGGCTAGAGGGTCTTGGCCTTCTGCACAGGTTAAGATCAATTTCTATATTTGGAGTCGGGAAGGTTATTTTATCTCATGGTCAGCTTGGTATGGACTGTTGAGGGTTTTGCCTCCTGTAGAGGGAGAGCATGGCCCTCTTTCTTGGATCTTGAGCATATTTTAATGACCCTCGCAGCAGCAGGATGCTGGTTGCTATTGTCCCCATGCTTTACCCATGGCATGCGTAGGGTGTTATACCTTGTGGTCGTGTGTCAAGGTTGGCTGTAATTTTACCAAAAGCCTATACACTAGATTTGTTTATGATAGTTTGAATGGAGATGATCCTGCCTCAGGCAAGGGTTTAGACTAGCTGACCTCCATAACTATACTAGCAGAAGCTCTGTTGGATTGACAAGCCCTTAGTGTAGGCAGAGGAATGCACAGGAGCATCTAGTCCTGGCTAAACATGTGTGCACTGCTGATCCTGGGTAGCTAAGTAATAAAATCATATGATTGACTAAACTTGTTCTGTCTTTACTTTCTAGCCCAAACCAGTTGAAGTTCAAGTGATAACACACCATATGCAGCGTTACGCAGTTTGGTTTGGAGGTTCCATGCTTGCTTCAACAGTATGTCTTTTATCAGCTTCTTTCCGAATTTCCTTCCCTATGTATTTTCTAGTGCTGGTCATCTGTGATCAGTGTTATTAGGTTTAAAATGCTGTTCACTTTAACATCTAAAATGATGTGTGTTGTACTAGAACATTATCGATTTAGCCAAATCCTGGAAACTTTTTTCAGTTTTTATTTGGGCAAAACTTCTATTGAATTTATGGGACCTCTGCTTGAGTAAGGACTATGAGGCTTGATCTATTTGCATGTGGTTGTATAGTTGACAACTTAAATATAGGATCTTCCACATTACTAAGGTCAGTGCTCTAAGAATAGTAAAGACTCTATGAATACAAAGCCTCATTTTTAGTTTCTTAATCCTAAGAGAGAAAATACAAGAAAATTGGGCATTTTTCATTGCTTTGAACTGTGGGCTTTTTTACTGCAATGCCTGCAGATCAATTATTCGCAGAACCCTTCTCCAGAGAGATTGCCATCCATTAACTCTTATTTTATGCTTTAAAAGGCATAAGGGTATATCGTAATGCTGTACTCCAGGAGAAGAGTTTCACAGATGATTTCATTGGTTTGTGTATGTGGGGTTTTTTTTGGGTACATTTTTATGCACTTGTATATTCTTGATTTATTTTTATTTGTTCTTAGCCAGAGTTTTTTCAAGTATGTCACACCAAGAAAGACTATGAAGAATATGGCCCTAGTATTTGTCGTCATAATCCTGTTTTTGGAGTCATGTCATAATGCTTGTCTACTGGAAGTAGCGGTTCATATATCTTGCTGGTGGAGAAACTCCTGAAATGGAAGAAGACAACAGTTATTGTAAATACTGAAGCAAGATGTGGATGTTCATCTCCTGGGAACATCTGGGTCACCATAGTGCACTACAACACTGCATACAGCCCAGATTCATTTCATTAAAAGCCATTTCTGTGCTGACTACTTTAAAGCCTATTCCTCTTTCTTCCTAAATGTGAGCTTCTAGGTAGTAGGCCAGTCTGTTTAGGAGACTGTGCAAACACTACTGAAGTCAAGTCTAGAAGATTATGGCATTGTTTTACTGCCTTGGGAAAAGTAAAAAGCGTTTAAGCCTTTTCCACCTGGGCTTTGCTCCTGCAATCGAATCTTTATGGCCAGATCTTTGTGCCTGTGTGGAGCCCCATTGATTTTAGTGGGACTCGGAATGGATTTAAGTGTCTGCTCACAGTTCACATTGCAGGATCAGAGCCTTACTTTATAAATGGATGGTTGTTCATATCATTTTGTATTTTATGATATTGGTAGGTTTGACTGGTTCTAAGCATGGACAGCTATCAGTATCATGGAGTGATGTGACAAGTTTCCAGGTGTGAGGCATACATTGAAGTTGTACTGGTGTGTCTTGCTGATGGGGGGGAAAAAAAATAGCCGTGTGTGCTAGAAAATGGTTTGTTTTTGTTTGAGTGACATGAACTTCAAGCAACTTACAGTGTTGTGTGAGGTTTATACAGCCTATTTTACTTTTTGTTATGTTTGAATTTTTTTGAAGTTGTTTTATAGAAGATAACATTTTTTTTTGGTGTTGATGAGTGGTGGATGAGATGCTGCCTTGCACCAGTGAAATAAACTGTTGACATCTTTACAAATGTTGTAGTCTTGGTTTATAAATTCCTTTCCCCATATTTTGTTTGCCAAGAAAATGCATGTATTTACATATATGATGAGCACAGAGTAAGCTTTAGATGCAGCGGTGTAATTTTAAATCACTTCACTTCCACTTTAAATGCATCTAGAAGGATGATGTTACCGATTTATGGTCTCAAGAATTTTGCAAAGAACCCCACTTCAGTCAATTGAGGTCACCTCCTTAAGCAAGTAAATGGATCACCTTGGGAATAATACTCAAATGTCAACAACTCTGAACTCTCAAAAAAAATTGGAAGAAATAAATGTTGGAGATAAAAACCCTATAGTAAGGCAGCCTTACTTCCTTCTACTTCCCACATGTGAGATGGAGAGCTTTTAGCAGAAGCTCTTCAACTGGACTCTTCTGTAATAGACTGTGAAGACAGAAGTGGATGCTTTGACCCAGATGCACAGGGCCACTGTGCTTAGCATTGCAATACGTATTTTTTAGAAGCTGAATCTAGAACTCTGCATTTCGGGTCTTGGTTTCCCATACAATACATGAAGAGAATTGGGTGCTTCACAATGGGATGCACAATGCCCAGCCTGCTGTGTTGAGTCATCCACACCTAGCCAATGAAGAAATGCTGAGGAGAGGGGGGTGTCTTCTCTGGGGTGACCTACTCAGCACTAGTGAGGGGATGCCACTTCCTCCTTCAGATTTACAACCTTCAATTCTCTCCTAAATACACTTAGGCCTTTTCTTTCAAAAATAGGGCAGGGGTCCTCCTTTCCTCTTAAACCAGAGGAACAGATGGTTTTGGAGCTGATCCCATACCACTGAGTTTTTGTGTATAGAGCATTCGCTTCTCATATGGGAGGTGTAGGGTCAATGCCCTCTTTAACAAGAAGGGGTTCAGGCTGTCTCCTAAGACAGTGCCTTTACCATCAGGCTATTGTTGGCTGGGCTGGGTTGTTGTGAGCACTCTCTGTCCCTTTTGAAACTGGGCTGCTATGCAGAATTAAAATCAAGGTTCATTGAGGTATAGAGAGGAAGGTGTTGCAGGAGTGAGCATGACAATAATCTATTGGTTAGTGCAGTCACCTGAGCATGGACAGTCCTGTATTTGAATCCCTCAGGCAGAGGAGGCATTTGAACACAGTTCTCCCATGTATGAGAGAGTGCTTTAACCACTGAGCAATTATATAAGGGGGAGTCTCACAGGGTGGCATTCATCACTTCATGTAAAAGGAAGTGGCAGTTGCTTTATAGAATCTGATCTGCAAGGCATAATCTGAGAGCACCTTGCTCAGGAAAGCGATATGGAAGCATGCTAGTTTCTGGCTGCTCGATAAGCCTGCATGCCAGGTAGCTCAGCCCTCTTGGGCAAGCCCAGAAATGGAAGTTTAAGTGCCTCAAGCTGAGGCACCTGTGGAGTTGAGTAGCTTCAGTGGCAGCTGAGCAGGGATGTTGTACATTACAGTTTGGGGTTAGGAGCATAAATTCCAGTTAAGGCCCTCTTTTGGATTCGGCCCTTAATCTTAGTTAAGTGCTCCAATTGGCCAGATAGGTGATCCTGAACATATGAAGCATATAGAACTTTATGGAGTAGAGTCAGTGTTGGCAATTACTTGAAGTAGCTAGACCATTTAATTAACGTTAGGCATTGGGTTTGTTATTTTACAAGTCATTTGATTCTTTTTAATTAACATGCAGCTGCATCTGCAAGAGTTCAGCCTGCGTATTTTTGCTGTTCAGCAGGATGGAAAATTCCTTAAGGTACCAGTTATTTTGGAGCCTTGTAGTCAAGGTAATGACAAGTTCCAGTTGCTATTGAGACAAGGTTGCATGGTATTGAATGAAAGGGGGAGAATAATTGGGAAAGGGTATCTGGCCAGTTAAGCAAGTTGTACGTGTGTCTGTGTGAGAGAGAACTCGTAGTAAAAGGGGGAAAAATAGTTCATCAGTCCAGAGACTGAAGTTCCTGTACCACAGAAAGAAGATGAACAATAACCACTTCGCAAACACTGCCCCTACCATGTCTCAGCTTTGAACTAGAGAGAAATCTCCTTAATAAATCATACCTGTTCCTTGCCTCACTTGCTGTATCAAAAATTAAAACTAATGCTGGTCTATCCAGAAGTTGCCATGTGGTCGGGTGTGCAGAGAACTGGGACTTCAGAGACCTGGATTCTATTTTTGCCTTTGCCACTGGCCCAATGGGTGATTGAAGGTAAGTCACTTCACCTTTCTGTGCCTTGGTTTCCTCCCTCTAATATGGAGAAAACAATGCTTGTGTTTTATACAGTACTTTGAGGTCTATTAATGAAAAGTGCTATGTTAAGATAGAGGTGGTATTTAAACCAGTGCCACTTTGTATAAAGACACCACTTGTTCAAGCCAAGCTCCTATAAGAAATTTGTTTTGATCTGTTCAGGGCTAGTGCAGGTGCAAATTTGGGTTTGTCATCTAGTCATGTGGCTGTCATCTAGAAACTGCCAGTCCATTTCATGTTGGCCACCAAAGAATTCAGTTGTATCCCAACCACGCAGTTGGCCCAATAAAAGATATTACCCACAAAAATTGTTGCCTCTTGGATATTTCCTGAGCCAGTATTTTAAGAAGAGCACTTCAGCATTACCAAAATATGGTATATCTTTAGCCTTTAGCTCTAAATGCATTCAAGCCAATACTGTAAAGGTTGAAGACTACATCCTAAATTGACAATATCCTGAGCCCTTCTCCCTTTTCAGTAGTAAGTGTTTAATAGCACTCAGTTTTTTATAAACATGAAGCATAGTGTGCATATGTTGTATGTGGAGCTTTCAATTAAACACAATTAGTGAGAGCTTGACATGACCTGAAGTACTGATCTCTCTTTGTAAATAATTCATTCATTATGATTGCAGTCTTCTCTCACATCTGGAAAAAATATGCTTTTGACAAACAAGTGTCTGAGATGGATCGAGAGAGATGCTCATTTAAAACCACCAGAGATTTCAGATAGGAATACAAAACCTCCTGCTTAATTGACGAGCATTATGTAATGAAGGAAAAAAATGGACAGGGATAGTCATAGTTATTGTAAATTAAGGCTCTGAGGTAGAATGATGTAATTGGCTGTGGTTGAATTTTTATAATGGCATTTTTAAAAGGGAGGGGGAGAACTGCAATGTGAAGTATTTGCATGTTTTAAAAAGGTTTTATGTTTCCTCTCCCTTTTTAATGGCAAACTGAAAGCTTATGACATTTGGTTGAGACTTACTTTAGAAGTAACAATTGCTGTCCTTTTGAAACTGCTCCAAATGTATGCATGAGTGTCTAAACCTAATGTTTCAGACATAGCAACTTCCTTCCAAAATGGCTTCAGAGAGTATAAAAAATCCTCATTGGCTTCAGGGGCCTCTCAATTGGGCTAATAACATCCTTGATTGTTTCCCGATTGTCATTTTTGTATCCTCGACACTGACATCCTGCGTGATCCTGGTGAAGACGCTTCACCTCTGATGCCTTCTTTCCTTTCCTCACTTCTATTTACCCTGTGAGCTCTGTGGGTGGAAGGATTGTCTCTTGCCATGTGTTTGTACAATGCTTAGCATTACTGGCCTCTGTTCTTGTCTGTGCGCTACAATAGTACACTTAACCATAATGTAGCAGGGTTCATGGAAGAAAAAATGATAATAAATGTATTTAAATTACTGCATTTCATCTGTGACTTTTCAAGGACAAGTATATTATATTGCTTTCCTTCAATAAGGAGTAAAGACATGCAATCTTCATAACTCATATTTTGTATTGTAGCTCTCTGAGTTCAGTAGTTTTTGGTCATACCTTACTACTATTTTTGTTAAGAGTTTCAAATTGAGTCCTCTAAGAGGTAGTTGATCCACACATGAATTAAATGTGTGTTGGTATAGTCAATGTGGCATACTGCAAGAAATGCCAGATGCCCAGCCGCAAGCCATAATGTATTATTTTATACTCAGAAAATAGGTAATACTGTAGGTGAGTTTTGGGTTTTTTTCCCTTTCTAGTGGACATTGACTTTCACCAGAAGTAAAATTCACCCTCCTGCCACCAGTGTTGTAGCATGAGCATGGTTTTCAAAGAACAATTGTGTGTGACAACATTAATCAGAAGAAAGCCTTCAAATTGAGTCTAGGAACCTGAATATGCTACCTTCAGTTATTGTAGTAATAAAAGCCAAGATAAACCAAAAGGTATGTGCTCTCCTACAAATAGAACTTGGCAGAATTAAGGTGTTGGTTATGATTCTTGCAGTATTCAAATGATACTGTAACTTTTTACCATTGCAGTGTGCATCATGATAATAGCTGGATGTAACAGGGAACCAAGAGGTCCCTGCTACTTGAAGGGAAAAGCAGCAGCAGAGGGTTCCCCGGGTCGAGGGAATCTGCCCTTGATGAGCTGGCTGCAGGGGAATAGGCAGCCAGAGGCTATTGCAGGGCTAGCTGCTCCGCAATAGGACAGCAGGGCAAAGCCTTGCTTGGGCTACAACAGGTAGCTCAGCAGGGGTGAGCGGTCTTGGAGACCAGTCATCCATCCTAATTGGAAATTCCTGCAGGTGACTAGGAAGCCACCTGACCAGAAGGGGCAGGCATTAAGAGGCATATAAGCCCAGGGCCTGAGCAAAGGGGCAGGCTAGCCATGCTAGTGGTGGGGTAAAAAGCTCCTGGGAGGGCAGGGAGCTACTTGAGGGACCTTGAACCAGTGTGGCACGCTTGTGGGACAGAGACTGGTGAGAGCCCAGGGATGAGGGCTGGTTTGGTGTTTGTTTGTCTCCCCCCCGGGGGAGGGAGGGAAGCCTTCCTTTTAAAGTAAATGCATGCCTTTTTCCTTTATGATGTTTGTTTGCCCAGAAGGTTTACGTTAAGCAGTTGCTTGCAACTTGCATTAAAGTTAAACTGGTGGTCTGAGTTAGGCCTATGGGGGTGGAGGAGAGGCCCAGTGGTGTCCGAGGGGTATATGACTGCTTTGAGCCCT